GGGTCACGGGTAGACCAAACACCAGGAGGGACCAGAGAACAAACATGGGAGAGATGACAGCAGAACCAAGCCTGGGAGCTGGATGGAACAGCCCAGGAGAAGGGGACGGCATGAGCAAAGACCCAGGGGCCAGCGGTTGGCTGAGGGGCGGCTCACAGAGGGGCACACAGGCCAGTCTGGCTGGAGCGCGGTCTGTGTGAAGGCCACTGCAAAGAGAGGAGAGAGAGCTGCAGGCACATCCAAAGAGGACCGTGTGCGGCCAACAGGAGAGTTTGAACATTCCCCTGCGGGCAGAAGAGAAAGTGAAACCGCCAGAGCCCTGCGGAAAGGCTGGCCTGGCTGCACTTCAGCAGAGGCTTGGCGAAGCAAGAGCAGGAGGGGTATCTGTTAGGAGACTGTGGCAGGAAGCACAAGGCTATCCAGGAGAGGGGGCCTGACGGGGCAGTGGTCCCAGAAGCTCTGTGGGGGGAAGCCCCGAGCCTCAGCCAGTGTGATGGTTTCACACCCCGCCTGCCTGCAGGAGGCAAAGGTGAACCACAGGCTCAGGAGTCAGACGGTTCTGGGCTTCACGCAGTTGTGTAACCTCCACGCAGGCATGTAACCACACCTCTCTGATCCTTGAGACCTTGTCTCAAAAATGAGGGTCCTGCCCATACCCACCCGGCAGGGACTCGCTCTGTGCAAATGAGAGAAGAGGCAGTGCTGCCTGATGGGTAAGAACACTGTCACCCGAACACCGAGGCTCCTTCTAGTTCCTCCTCAGTCCTTTCCCTTCCTCACTGAGTGACCCCGGGTAAGTTCTCCAACTTTTGGGGGCCTCGCTTTCCTCACCTGTAAAATGGATTGAATAACCACATCCACCTCAAAGGATTCGGTCGAAGACCGAATGGATTCACACATGCAAAAAGGGCTGAGAACAAATAGTTCCTGGCACACGCAGTGCATACAGGAAGGAGATGATAGCTATCATTACATAAAGCCACATAGGGTGCTGCTGGCATGCAGAAGGCTGAGGCTCACTCAGCACACGCATGGCGCCTTCTCTGTGCTACGGGCCTTTACTAAGCTCCCAGCAAGCCACGGCAGGCAGCGGTGGGACAGGTCAAAGGGCAGTGGAGGGCAAGCTTACATCCGGTCTTCTTCCCACCCCTCTCAGGAAATGCCCACTCTCTTCAAAGCTCCCCCTGCCCTGCACTCCTCACCATCCTCGCTATGCATATTGGTTCTGGGCACCACTGTGATGGGGGGTCTGCCAGGAGCCCTGTCTGTCTGTCTGGCTGGCTGGGGGCTCCGAAGCGCAGAGATCCCCGTGTTGGCTCAGCCTGGTGGCCCCTCCTGCTGTGTGCACGCAGCTAAGAAATGTTTGTGGATGACAACAACCCCATTCTTGTCCCAGATCTAGACAGAAAGGAAGATTCCTCTAATTCTCATTCAGCTTGACAATATCATTTCCTCCCACACGCGTATAATGCTCTCAACACAGTAGGGGGAAGATAAATGGTTTTCCCTCCTGAGAGAAAGGAAAGACCCCCCCTGGGAGAAGCACCGGAGACCCCGCAGGAGAGAGGCTTCCCCGGGGCCTCTCCCCGGCCTCGCTCCTGCCCTCCCAGTGCCCCCGGCCCCTCTGGGCGGCACGGGGGGCGCACTGACACCCCGGGGCCTGAGGGAGACAGCTGTGCAGTAGACCAGATGTTGCTCTGGCTGTCGAGAGCACCAGGCCAGCCGTCTGGCTGCTGTCCCCAGCGTGGGCCAGCTTGTGGGTGGGCAGGGGGTAGGGGAGGAGAATGGAGAGTTCCCCCACCCCAGCCTCAGCCCACCCCCGCCTACAGCAGAGCCGGAGCCAGGCCCCTGCACACAGCATGGGGAGCACAGCTGGCTTCAGCCTGGGGCGGCTCAACAGTGGCCCCCTGCCCAGCGCGTCTGTAAATCATCCAGGTGCCTGACCCGCAAGAGGGAGCCAGGCCAAGATCAACAAAGAAAGCAGGAGGAGGGGGGCACGCGAGGGGACAATTTCAAGGAAAACGATCTGAGCACTGGTAGCGCCCCAGCAGCTCCTAAAAGACAGGCAGACCATCAAAGCCCTCCCATCCGGGGGGCCAGCGACCAGAAGGAGGTCGGGTCTCACGTCGCTCCCCCCTGGACTAGAAAGGCCATACCCAGAGCACAGCAGAAGGCATCCTGGCATCCGGGAACTTGTCCAGGAGAGACAGTGCAGGAGGATGTGGGAATCCTGGGGGGATGACATGGGTGGGGGTGGACCTGACAGCTGCTGTCAACTGCAGGAGAGGGAAAGTTCACAGGCTCTGGAGTCTGGCTGTGGGGTAGTGTGACTTCTGCTGTGTCACTTCACTTCTCTGAGCCCCCAGCCGCTTCAGCTATGAAATGCGCACTGTCACACAGACGCACAGGGTGGCCGGGAGGACTCAGTAAGTCCCTCGGCAGAAGCCAGAAGCGGGGGCCTCCACAAGCCAGAGCTGGGCTCGGGCCCCTCTCTCCCCTCTTCCTCCACCAGGGGGAGCCTGGGGACCAGGAGCGCCCAGCCTGTACCAGCATCTACCTATCCTCCCCCAATGCTGCAGCCTCTGCTGCTAAACTCCCACCCTGCCTGCCCCAGCTCCCAGCGGCAGCCGTCCTCCCTCTCCTGTCAATTTCCTCCCTCATCCCACTCAAACCCTCCAGATACCTAAGGGTCTCCTGGCCCCTCCCAGCTCCTGGCCCAGCCACGTCCCGAGGCCACGAGATCCCTGTGTTTTGGAGGGGAAAATAACAGGCGCCGAAGACAGGTGAACCTGGGTTCTAGTCCCAGCTTCATACGGAACCAGCAGCATCACCCTGAGCAAGGATCCTTCAGCTGGGAGCCTCAGTTTCCCCACCTCTAAAATGGAGCCAGCAATGCTCACCACCTGATATAAGGAGCAGAAGAGGAGCTGATGGAGGGGCCAGTGTTTCATATGTGGTTAGGGGACATGCAAAGAGCTAGCCAACCCCCTTTCTGGATCCGGTAGGAAACGGGAAGCCAGGAAAACCAACGGGAACTGGGAGGGATCAAGAGGTTGGTTGGCGTGGCCAGCAGAAGCGCCGAGCTCCAGAGCAAACGAGCTGCCAGCCAGCCAGGAGCTTCAGACCTGCGTCTGCAGGATGGACACTCTGAGCGTCAGAGAACCCTGGCACCGGGGGAGGCTCGGGTCGTTTCGTTGGGCTGCACACCTGATTCAGGAATTGTGCTTTCTCCAGCTCCCCTCACCCCCCTACCCCCCTCGCCCCTCTAGAGGCAGCCTACTGCATCACCAGCCAGCCAGATTGGGACGTTCTTGCTGATTTATCCCAATGCTCCTGTCTCTGCTCCCTGGAGCCACACAGAACGCGGCTGCCCCCTCTGCCACGGGCCTGATCACTCTAGAAAAGTCCGTAGCCAGGCCTGAGAGGCAAGCACAGTGCCTGCCCAATGTACCCCTGCAGCTACCCCCCCCCCCCCCCCGTGCCCTGTCCTGAGCCCAATACCGTGCTCGGTGGATCTAGACCCTTCTCACACGCATGCACCCAGTCCTCCAGGAATGGCCTCCTAGCAGCCCTGCCCGGGCAGGGGAGCCTCTCTCCCCTGGTCCCCACTTCTCTGGGACAGTTCACACCATCACTGAGCCGAGGGCACACTGCAGCGAAGCCCAGCCGGGAGCTAGAGCTGCAGCTGCTGCTTCTGGGGCCCAGCCATCTCAACCCAGCACCCCAGTCTGCTGCCTCACCACGGGGGAGTTGCAGAGAGCTGTCTCCCGGCAGATTTCCTGAGGCAGAAGGCTTCCCCACCCCCAGCCCAGCCTCCGAGAGACACTCCGCTGGTTGTGGCACATGGTAGGACCAGCTGAGCGGGGAGAGGAGGGGGGAAGGCTGTCCATTCGCTGGAGGACTTCAGACTTGCTCTGTAGTGGGGCTGCATTAGTCATGGAACCCTCCGATGGAAGCTGGAGTGGCCCTTAAAGAGCATTCAAGGCAGACCTCGCCTTTGAAAAAGACAGAAAGGAACCGAGGGGCAGAGAGAGGAAGGCACTCAGTCAAGGTCACAAAGCCAATCAGCAGCAGCGCTGGAGGGGGAACCAGGTCTAGCTCCCAGCTCCATGCTCTTTCCCATGGAGCAGAGGAGAAGGCAGGGAGCCTGGAGGGCAGCCCTGGGAGCCCTCGTGCCCTTGACTCTCAGCCTGACTGGCTTCCCGGGGCGTCTGCATGGAAGAAGGAGGCCCGGTCCCTGTCCCACCAACCCACCAGACCACACCAAGGCGTCCCGGATAGGCACACACGCAGCCCCCGGCACAGGAGCTGGCACTGATCCAGCAGGAGGGAAGCTCTGTGGACTGTCTTCCCTGGGTGCTCTCACCGGGTGGTGTTTTTCTCGCCGGTGGAGAGGGGGTGGTCTCGGAGGCACTAGCCCAAGGCCGGGCCTCCATCTTTGCTGCCCCGGCCAGGCTGTGCGGCAGGTCCCCCCGCACGGCCGCCTGGGCCTCCAGCAGCCATTCTGCTCCCACCTGCCTCCCGGGAAAGGATGGGGCCGGGGCGCCGGAGGAGACCCCCACAGGCAACACCACAACATGGGCAGGAAATAGAAGGAGGGGAAAAAAAAAAAAAGAAAGAAAGAAAAAAGGAGGGGGGGTTCCTCTTCCTGGGGCTCTGAGTTGGCACCTTCCCAGACAATAAACACGTCCGAGAGAAATAAATAAATAAGTGGCGAGCCATCCTCTCGCAGGGACCGGGCGGGGAGTGGGGAAGTGGCTGCCAGGGCTCCCGCGGGCCCCGGTTCTGAGCATCAGGAGCCGCCAGCGCTCCTGGGGCCACCCCGGTGGCTAGACCAGGGGCGTCTGCGGCGGGAGGGGGAGAGGGGGGGCCCCGGCTTCTCCTAACAGGTTGGGGCCGGGGAGGAGGGCATCGGGCCCGGGTTCTCCAGGTCCCGGCTGGCCAAGTTGGGACAGGGAACGGGAGGGGGAGAGCCGAGGGCACCCACGCGCGTTCCTTACTTTCTCTGGAGGGTCGTGGCCGGGCTGGTGCTGGTGCTGGTGCTGTGGCCGCCGCCGGTGCCGGGACTGGAGCTCCGGGATGCGCCACGGCTCAGCTGGCCCCGCTCCCGAGGGGGCCGGGGCCCCACGCCCACCGCCGCCGCCGAGTAGCCGCCTTCCTTGTCGCGGCCCGGGTGCGCCGGCCCCGCATCCCGCCCGCCCCGCTCGCGCCCCAGGGCCGGGTTGTCGTGGTGCAGGTGGCACTGGGCCACGTCGCGCTCCCGGGCCGAGTAGCCACCGGTGTCCTGGAGCGGGTAGGAGGCGTCCCGCTCCTTGTCCCGGTACACCGCCTCCCGGTTCTGGTAGGCGCCTTCGCGGCTCGCGTAGCCCACGTCCCGGGCCGCCTGGTGGAACTGGCTCTCCCGCAGCTCGCGGTGGTGGAACTGGGTCTCCCGCAGGTTCTGGTACTGGCTCTCGCGGCCCGGGCTGTCCCGCGCGCCGTGGGGGTCCCGGTGCAGCTCCCCGCGGTGCAGCTGGCTCTCCTCCCGCAGGTCGCGGTTCTCTTGGGTGAGCTGGTCCAGCTGGCCCTCCAGCTCCTCGATGCGCCGTCTCTGCGTCTCCAGCAGCTGCTGCTGGCTCTCAATGATGTTGTTCAGCTCCAGCAGGTACTCCACCGCCCGGTTGGGGCTCTCCGAGCCCGGGCCGCCCGGGGGCCCCGACCCCGCCTCCATCCTAGCGGCCCAGGGGCAGGGGAAGGGGCAGGAGAGCCCGGTCCCTGCTCGCTCGCGGCGCCACCCTCCCCCGGGCCCAGCCGGGGGAGGGGGCCGGCGGGACGCGAGGGCGCGCACCGGGCTCGAGGGCCCGGGGGCCCGGGGGGGCCCGGGAGACAGCGCTGGGTGGTCCGACGGCACGGGGAGCGGGAGCTGAGGCTGCCGCCACCGCCACCGCCACCGCCACGGCTCGGGAGGACGCGGCCCACGGCGCTCCGCCCGCTGCGGAGTCACTGCGCAGCGCGGCCGCGCGGGACCGCCCCGGCCGCCGGCCCGCCCCCCGCCCCTGCCCCCACTCTCCCGCCCGGCCCGCCCCCGCGCGCCCCACCTGCCACAGCCCGCCGCGTCCGAAGCCGGACCCGCCCCGGGCGCCCCGGCCAGCCCCATCGCGGGCCGCCGGAAATCGCTCCCTTCCACCGTCCACGGGCCGGTGTCCTCACCCAAAGCAGTCCGAGGAAGCCCTCCCTCCCAGTCCCTTCCGATGCAGCCCGGCCCGCCAGGCCCCAGAGCCTCATCCCAAGAAGCGCCATCCCAGGCGTCGCACGGAGTCCCCATCCCCTCGGGATCTTCCAATCCCAAGTGTCAGGTGCCCTCCAGCTGAGCTAGTCCTCCAACCCGAGGCAGCGCCAGGAGCTCCATCTTAACCAGCCATCGCAGCTGGGATCAAAGCTCCGTGTATGCCTTCAGCCCTCGTTTTCTGCTCGTCTTTGGGAATGCTCCCTTCTATGCAGCCCATCGTATCTAGGCAGGGAAACGGTGCCCATCTCACAAGACTCAAATGCCACCTTCCTGAGTGATTCCCCAAGCCACGGTGCTCACTCTCTCCCCTCCTGACCTCCCACTGACTTGGTCCACGCTTCCCTCTTGGCATCTGGGCGCCAAGTGGAAGTCTGCTTTGGAGTGCATTCGTCTGTGTTCTTGTTTTCAGACCTCTGCCAGCCTGAACGCCTCAAAGCCAGAAACACGTCTTCATTCATCTTTGTGAGCACGTTGGGGCAGAGGAGAAAGCATGAGTTTCACAGGCAGGCAAAACTGGATTGAAATTCCATCGTCTCCTCTCTGAACTTTTATTTCCCCTATCCATAACACCTGCCTCCCGGGGGTGGTCTTGGGAGAAGGCACGCAAAAACGTTTGGCACCGAAAAGACAGCCCACGGGATGAGAGAAAATCTGTGTGAGTGATAGAGCTGATAAGGGCTCTGTGTCCAGATTATGTAAAGAACTCTTACATGCCAACAACAACAAAACAACCCATTTTCTTTACATGGACAAAGGATTTGAATACACGTTTCTCCGAAGACGTTGTACACATGACCAGGAAGCAGATGGAAAGATGCCTCTCGCCATGAGCCATCAGGGAACTGCAACTCAACATCGCAAGGAGCTTTCCCTGCTGCCCACCAGGTGTTTGTCTGGGTTCCTGTTGTAACTGAAAGGGAAACTTTCACCATGTCCCGAGCCCTTGCTGTTCTGCAGAGGAAGGAAGAGGTTGTCCTTACATTCCTTGCAGCAGGAACCCACTTAGGTGGCCCCCATGTTGGCTTCCAAATGGAAGAGCTCGGCTACACAATGAAAAGTGATAGAATTCTGAAATGAACATCCGGGAATCTTCTGCAGGCGGCTCATGAGCACCCTTGTTGCCCCCTGAAAACCCCGCTGTCAGTGTCAAATTGTCCAGGAATACAGACCAGTAAGCTAAGCTGCTGCCACTAGGGAGACTCCTGTTGCTGGCTGCCTCATTCCTGGGACCTTCACTAATCAGATCCAGGCATCCTTCTGGGAGTTGAGGCTTCCGGTGGTTAGTGATCCCAGGGCTGGCCACCAGCCTATCTCAGAGGCATCTCATGTTAACCTGTCTACTGTCCCTCTGTGTAACACAGACAGCATTACCATCCCATCCAACAACAAGGGGGCTGGCTCAGTGGGTCTGATATTGCAGATGCTGGTACAGGAAGTTCTACGCATGTGCGGAACCATCTACCATGAGCATCCGTGGGAGGTCATGCCTGCTCTCCCACTACACTGGGAGACCCTGAAGAGAGTGGGAAAGAAGAGCAGGCGGCTGCTGAAAAGGCTGTGACCAAGGAGGCATTTCTGGGTGAATGGATTGCTCAGCTCCCGAGTTCTCTGCCTCAGCCTGAGGTCACTGAATGGGTAGGAACCAGCACTGGGTGGTCTGAAGCTATTCTTCCGCAGGCTCTTAAAGGGAAAATGGAAATAAGGTTGTTAAAACATAAACATCAGATTCTTAAAACAAACACATACACATACACATACACATACACACAGAGATGCCACTTCACACCCACTGTGGTAGCTAAAATAAAAAGAGCACACCAGGAGAAGGATTGGCCAGCATGTGAAGAACCGGAAGCCTCATTCTTTGCTGGTGGGAATGTAAAATGGTGTGATCAATTTGGAAAACAATTTGTAAGTGACTCAAAATGTTAAACACAGAGATACTATACGACCAAGGAATTCTATTCGTAGGCATATACCCAAGAGAAATCAAAACATGTCCACACAAACACTTGCATATGAATATTCATAGCGGCATTGTTCATAATAGTCCAACCTGTGGAAACAATCAAATGTTCGTGTATCGATGAATGGGTCAATAAAGGGCGGCATGTCCACACAGTGGAACATTAGTCAGCCATAAAAAGGAATGAAGTACTGATGCATGCTAAAACATGGATGAACCTTGAAAACCTATTGCTAAAAGAGGCCCCAAAGGACACAGATTATATGATTCCCTTTCTATAAAATTCCAGAATAGGCAGATCCATAGAGACAAAAAGTAAAGTAGTGATATCCAGGATCTGGAGCATGGGTTGGGGAAAGAGGACTGACTGCTAACGGGTATGGTGTGTTATTGTTGTTGTTGGATTTTTTTTTTTTTGAAGGAGAATGAAAATATTCTAAAATTAGATTGTGGTGATGATTGTACAGCCCTGTTAATTAAAAACCACTGAGCTGGAATATCACATGATCTCATTTATATGGAGAATCTAATGAACAAAATAAACTGATGAACAAAATAGGACCAGAGCCATGGATGCATGGAACAGACTGACAGTTCTCAGAGGGGAGGAGAGTGGGGGTACAGGAAGAGATTAACCAAAGAACTTATATGCATATATGCATAACCCATGGACACAATAGTGGGTCAGAGCAGAAGCTGGGTGGAGGGGGGTAGAGGGGAGAAAATGGGAGACATCTGTAATACTGTCAACAATTAAAAAACCCTGAGTTGTATATTTTTAAAGGGAAAACTTTATGGTATGTGAATTATATCTTGATAAAGCTGGCTTTTTAAAAAGTCTTGCACAGCCCTAACTTGTTTGGCTCAGTGGATAGAGCATCAGCCTGCGGACTGAAAGATCCCAGGTTTGATTCCGGTCAAAGGCGTGTACCTTGGTTGCAGGCACATCCCCAGTAGGAGGTGTGCAGGAGGCAGCTGATCAGTGTTTCTAACTCTCTATCCCTCTCCCTTCCTCTTTGTAAAAAATCAATAAAATATATATTTTTAGAAATAAAAAGTCTTGCACAGACAGAGTCTAGCACATAACAGCAACCACAATAATAATAACTAACACATCTATAGTACTTATCATGTGACAGCTTAAGTCTTTACATGTTCAAACTCACAAAATCATCAGGACAAACCAATGAGATGATAGCTACTGTTATTACCTCCACCTTACAGATGAGAAAGTAAACCCGGAGGTTGAATTGCTTGCCCAAGGTCACACCAGGGCATAGCCAGGATGCTCAGATGTTTCCTTATTACTTCTTTATACTTTTCGTCATACTTCGTATAAAATTGGTGTTCCATAAGTGTCAAATTACTATATCCATCAAACTTCTATTCATCCAGTGAACATTTACTGAGCATTTGTTATGTTCTAGGCCAGTAGTCGGCAAACCGTGGCTCACGAACCACATGCAGCTCTTTGGCCCTTTGAGAGTGGCTCTTCCACAAAATACCACGGCCTGGGCGAGTCTATTTTCAAGAAGTGGCATTAGAAGAAGTTTAAGTTAAAAAAAAATCTGGCTCTCAAAAGAAATTTCAATCATTGTCCTGTTGATATTGGTTCTGTGGACTAATGCGTTTGCCAACCACTGTTCTAGGCAATACTTGCATTGTACCTTACCCCTGCTTCTCTCGTTCAGATTCACTGTGGGGTACAGGGCAGATGGGTACAAAGTTTCATTCACAAAATATTGACTGAGTATCTACTATGTGTCAAGCACTGTTCTAGACTCTAAGAATATAGCAATGAACAAAATAGACAACAATCCCTAACCTCATAGAGTTCACAGGGAGGAGAGAGACAAAAGACTACAGAGAGCATTTTGGATGTTGTACTGGGTTGGGTAATATGCCCCAAAACTTGATGTCCACCTGTGAATGTAATCTTACTTGGAAATAAGGTCTTTGCAGGTGTAATCAAGTTAAGGTAAGATCATATTCTATTGGCGTGGGTCCTGATTCAGTGACTGGTATCATTATAAGAAAAGGGAAATTTGGTCACACACACACACACACACACACACACACACACACACAGAACACCATGTGAAGATGGAAGCAGAGATTGGAGTCTATAAGCCAAGGAAAGGAACACCAAATATTGCCAGCAAACACCTGAAGCTGAAAGAGGCAATGAAGGATTATTCCCTAGAGAAGGGGGTGGGGGGAGAGATAGAGAGAGAGAGAGAGAGAGAGAGCGAGCGCTGAGAAAGACTACATATCTGCTGTTGTTTAAGCTACTCGGTTTGTTGTACTTTGTTACGGCAGCCCCAGGAAGCTAACACAGATGGAGAAAAGCAGAACAGGGAGGGATGACGGAGAGCTCTGGGTGAATGAGACATAGTCTGTGCCCTCAGGGAGCTCCCAATCTATTCAGGCAGCTGCAACCATAAGTTGCAAATAGGACCAACAAGACAGAATGTGC